GTTGCCTGCGGCTTTGCCCTGCACCCCACCCTGGGGTTGCATTCACTGCATTGGCTGGGCAGCGCCTGCCCCACTCCCTCCCTCATGTGGAGGCCTCAATCTGCACCCCCTCCACACTTCTTCCCTCCCCCAAAATTTATTGGTAGGGCACTGCTCTCCACGCTGCTGGGCTGCACACCTGACTGCGTGCATGCACACAACATTTATCAGTGAGGTTATTGGCTAAAAGAAGCCGATTGCCAATAATGTTAATTTTCCTGTTACAGGTGCCAGTTTGATATGCGACTGATGTATCACCACACCTCTACTATTAAGCCTCCATTTCCTTACCTTGTTGCTTTTCATAGTTGCCTTATTATTTCATATCTAAACTCCTGGTAGGTTTCTAAATATATTTTCTTGTTCTAGTCCTCATTTGGCCATCAATGTAGAGATTTAAGGGTAACCCTTCAGTCAAAAGCAGATTCTTCAGCAGCTAGTAGTGGCTGAGTAATGCCACTCTTCTTCCAAGTAAAGCAGACACCTATTCTATCTTGCCCAACTACCATCAACAGCGATCAGGGCTTAATCTTAGGTGACTGATGTTCTTACATGGAATGATTGTTCCCTAGTTGACTTATTATCCATGGAAGATTTTTAAGGGGGCTTTGTGGCTTGCAGCTGAGATTACTTAAAATAAAATTTTATTTGCATAATCTAGGAGAAATAATGCCTTGGGCTAAAGAGACGTCTTTCCCTGATCTCAATGGAAAGGGTCTCTGGTAGTGAGATGGTTCTTCCTATACTTTTCTGGCAATCAGCGACTATATTATGTTGCCAAATGAACAGTGGTGCTTGCCTGTACAGCTCTTTAGCATACAAAAGTTTGGGCATATATCTGTATGGAGCAAAGCAGCACCATGTAGAGCAGTGGTTCTCAACTGTGTTAGACTCAAGAAGTCCTTCGTTAGATTCAAGACACCCCTCAGAAATGTGAACTCTTCGTTTTTACTATTTTCTTGACTGCGGGTGGGGGCAGGGGAAGCAATTCTGTTGTCATGAAGAACTCAGAAAGAGCACAACAGGTCAGAATATTTTGGCACTACAGGGTCCTACTTGAAATATCTGGGTTTATGACGTGAATCATGTGTAGGTTTTGGCATACCTAACAATGCTAATGCTGTGTGGCAGCACACAACACCCTTAAAAAGATCCTATGGCACCCTGCTTGAGAATCACTGGTGTAGATCCACACTGAGCTGGTGTTGTGCATGCCAGCTCTGCGGTCAGAAGCAGTGTAGCTCTGTGGGGATAGTGCTGTACCCCAGTTAATTAACTGCTCAGAAACAGAGCTTACCTGCCTGGCTGCTATGCTGAAGCAACATGAATATGCTGCTTTTAGTACTGGACCTAGCACAGTTTCTGCCTGGCACTAGACTGGACTGTATAAACATACCCTTTTTTCTTTAATATTTAACTAGCTAAGCCAGATGTATATCAAGGTACTTATCAATTCTCTGATCTACCTTCTAAAATGTGTATATCTGAGAGACCCAGAGATACTTGCATCTGGGTATAGCCTTATGTAGGTACAAGAGGTCACTGCCTTCTCAATTTGCAGGACTGGAATCCTGGAAGTTAGTCTTTACTCATCTTCCTACTATCTACCATTAGCAGGGAGACCAAACTCTTTATATTGGAGTAGTTCAGCTAAAGAAGTTTTGTTCTGAAATTCACTATAAATTGGCCACGAAACAGTCCCCAACATCTGCCCAATCTTAGTTCAATGGACACTTTTCTTTCCAAAAGGTAACCTCACAGATGATTAGAAAGAAGCAAATCTTTGCCAGTGTTTGCAAAGCTTACCTTATATTGGAGGAGTTCTTTTCCCTCTAAAAACACTGCCATCTCCTTCCAGTTGAAGGAAGCCTTCTTGCGGTACACACAAAGTGGTCCCTTAGGGAAATCTGGCAGCAAAGTGTCCCCAGAGTTTTGGGTACCACTGACTTCCTTCAGGTCAGTGGTGGTTGCCATCTTCAAGCTAAGCACCTCTGCAGGGCAACAAGAACAGATCTGCAATGAACTAAAATACTGCAGAGGCCTAATTTCTCACATGTATTTCTTAAAGAAGGAATGAATGGGATTCTTAATTAAATCCATATGGAGTTGTTCAAAAGGCATGGAGACAGGCAAGGCAGATGCACCTGTTCAAACTGGTCTTACCTTTTTGTAATGTAACTGGTTTGGTACAAGTGAAACAACAACTGTCTTTGTGCCAATGCTTATGGATTGTTCACTTTCTGTTATTAAAATGTGAAGAGAACATTTTCAAATAAGAAACATGCCTCCACTTCTGTGTAATATTTCATGACTAAAAGGGAGATATAGATTTTAAATGTCCAATAAAAAGTGCCATGCTTTAAACAATATGTGAATAATTAATTGGCCTCATTTCCAAATGAGACTATGAAAATATCAGTGGATTCATACATGCAAAAAGGCTTAAAATGAAGGAGGACATTATGTTTCCTCCCACTTAATGTTGAAATAACCTATATGCAAATAACTTTTTTCAGTTACTACATATTCAAGCAAAAGGCTTTATTCACCCTTTATTCTTCCAAGTGATCAGTGGCACTGCAAATGCAAGAGTCATGCATAAATCAAAGGAAGAGAGAAGCAGTTTGGGGCACAGGCAGGAGCTCTACCTTCATCTGCCGCAGAAGCATCTAGCCTCAAGTTGTTAGGGCACCCACACACCTCTGCAAAGTGCACACAGTATATCAGTGTTAAATGTCACCATATCAGCACGGTATGACTGAACAGCTGCAGTAAATGGGAAGGGCAAAAGTTCTGCTAAGGTAGCACAGGATCAGGCATCTTCCACCCACAAGATATGGCAGGCTTTCCCTGCAATTGTAATCAGGCCCATCTCTCAGACACACACAAGACCCCTCTCACTTAAGTGCAGAGGTTCTTTCAAACTAGACAAGCTGCTTTGGCCTTGGCTAGAAACTCAAATGGTGTTTCTAGGATCGTTGCTGATCCAGCAAACTGTGGGTTCAATTTTCACTAAATATCTATAGATATAAGGTGTTACTCTAATTGTCTGAACCTGGGTCCAGATAACTGAATACAACAAAATGGAGTGACGACTTAAAGTTAAGAATATATTAATATTCAGAATCCTGCTTTTCCTTTTGCTCATAACTCTTTGCAGAAACCCCTCTTTTGGGCTGAAACTTCACATGTATTAAGTGATTTATTTTAAAGAAAATGATACAATGTTCCCTTTTCACTACCAATCTATCTGCTCCCTGGTTCTATGTATATATAAAATAATTTCCCAGATAAAAGATAAACCTTTTCCTGTCAAAATGTACTTTTCTAACATTTGTAATATATCTAGTAAATAATGCTACATTGTACTAATGCATCTAGACCGTTTGGCTCAGAAAAGAGGTTTTATTACTAAGTTTGATAGTTGAATATAGGTTCTCACAGTTAATGTTATTTTAACTGAGGTAACCCACCCAGATGTGGAGGTAATGGGCACTGTTACGAATTTTTAAATAAATTAAATAAATACCTCTCCGTAGCTTACAGGTCTTTGGTATTTCCTTTTCCCTCACTACAATAAACTGCTACAAATGATAGTTTTATATATAAGCTAATGCACATTAGCATTTTGTCTGCAAACAAGGACTTTGTCTGTACTCACCACTTTTCCCCTGTTCGTAGTCCAAAAAACTTATCTCATATACTCAGTGTCAAAAGTCCAGGGTCTGGATTTCAAACTCATCTTAACTACCATTTATTTTAGAAGCAATAATTTCCTATGTGGTGCTTGTAACACAAACAATATGAAATCTTACTAATACCAGCCTTAATCTCAGTGCAGCTAGACTGCAGGGCTGTGCAAAGCTTCCATCTCAGATTCAATTCGGCCCTATTCGGTGGCCGAATCTCCAAATCTGAATCAAATCAGGAGACCGTTTAATCTCTCTGAATTGATTCGGAGAGATTTGGAAAGATTTGGGGATTTGGACATAGACACAGCTTTAAATGTTTTTTCTACATGGTTTCATAGTTGGTAGGGTCAGAAGGGACCTGAAGTGCGGCGCCCAGAACTGGACACAGGACTCCAACTGCAGCCTGACCAGTGTCGCATAGAGGGGGAGGATCCCCTCCTTGGACCTGATTGAGATGCATCTATGGATGCATGACAAGGTGCGGTTACTCTTCCTGACCGTGTCCCCACATTGGCGGCCCATGTTCATCTTGGAACCAATAATGATTCCAAGATCCCTTTCTGCCTCTCTGCTGATGAGAAAGGAGATCCCCAGCCTGTAGGTATGCTGCTGGTTCTTCCTCCCCAGGTGCAACACCTTGCACTTGTCTGTATTGAAACCCATCCTATTCTCATCTGCACACCTCTGTAACCTGTTGAGATCTAGCTGTAGCCTGTCCCTCTCTTCTAGCATGCTCACTTCTCCCCACATCTTAGTGTTATCTGCGAACTTGAACAAGGTGTTTTTCACCCTCTTGTTCAAATTGCTGATGAAGATATTGAACAGTGTGGGCCCGAGGACCGAGCCCTGGGGAACCTCACTGCCCACATCTCTCCAGGTTGAAAATGACCCGTCCATCACCACTCTCTGGGTGTGGCCCTCCAGCCAATTTGCGACCTATCTGACTGTGTAGGCGTCAACAGCACAGACACCTAATTTTTTAATGAGGATGGGGTGAGAGAGAGTGTCAAAGGCCTTCCTAAAGTCCAGGAAGACTATGCCTACCGCGACACCTGAGTCCAAGGCTTTTGTGACCTGGTCACAGAAGGCGACCAGGTTGACCTGACAGGACCTGCCTCTAATGAACCCGAGTTAATTGCCCCCAAGCATAAACTCCCCCACTGGCCCCTCTCAGATGTGCTCCTGGATAATTTTCTCAAAGAGCTTCCCCAGGACTGAGGTGAGACTAACGGGCCTATAGTTTCCTGGGTCTTCTGTCCTCCCTTTTTTGAAAGTGGGGATCACATTGGCCCTTTTCCAGTCATCAGGCACCTCGCTACAGCACCATGAGTGATCATAAATCTGTGCCAGGGTCCTGCAATGACCTCTGCCAGTCCCTTAAGCACTCTGGGGTGGAGGTCATCAGGACCTGCCGATTTGAACACATCTAGTCCCTCCAGAAGTTCCCTGACTAGGTCCTCACTGACCCTATACATACCTCAAGGTACCAGGCGGCTTGTGAATGCTGTGATGCTGAGGTGCATGGAGTGTCCCACAGGAGCGCGGGGGGGGGGAGGGTCCCCAGCATGCTCGGCAGCAGACCTGGAAGTGGACCAGAAGCATTTCTGGTCCACTTACACATCCACCAGGGAGCATGCAGGGGAGGGGTTCCCTTGCACGCTCCCCCAGCTCGGCGACTGGTGCCTCCTGAGTCTGGGGAGGGAAGCACCTGGGTCTCCCTTCAGCGAATCGCTGAGCTGGGGGGGGTGAAGGGGGGGACACGGGAGGCCCCCCGCATGCTTCCCGGCAGAACTGGAAGTGGACCAGAAGTACTTCCAGTCCACTTCCAGGTTTGATGCCAAGCATCTGGCGTGCCCCGCCCATGCTCCTGTAGGACTCTCCATCTGCCCCAGCATTGCAGCATTCACAAGCTGCACCTAGTACCTCGAGGTATGTAGAAAAAACATTTAATGCTGTGTCTACAGCCAAATATCTTCAGATTTCGCCAAATAGAATCAGAGACAGCGATCCGAATCAACGAATTGAATCGCTGTCCCCGATCCAGGCTGAATCTGAATTGAATATGTCTTGTTTCTGACACCCCTACTGGACAGGCCTGTACAAACAGAGCTGTAACAGGTAGTGCTCTGTACCTGATAAACAGGAATCCAGGTTTTCTGTTCACTATGGAAAAATGTGGCAAAACCTGGATTTTCTCACATTTTTCTTCTTAAAATAAGAAATGGTGGGCTTCCCCTTGCAGGCTAGTAGAGTTCCAGCCTGCTAGAGGATGGATGGAGAGAAAGGAGGGTGGTCAGGAAGGAGATACCTTGTGCACGTGCGCATCTACACGTATGCATGGCTGCCAGGTACCCGAGAGACCAGCTTCCCATAAGTAAGTCGGGGGGGGTGGGGAAGAGGGAGATTGAGACCCCCATAGTGAGGGAGTTGAGTAGGGTTGGGGCTGCTGCCCAACCAGAGTAGTGTATGGGGCTTGGGACCCGGGCCATGTGTGGCTGTAAGGCCAAGCAAGGACTGGGATGGGGCTGTGGGCAGCTTTTTTGGGGGTTGGCAGGGGCGGGGGAGGAACTGGCTCTCACCACTGCACACACTCACAAGGGGTGGCATGGGAAGCATATGCCTCCCAAATCTGTGTGGGGCAGGGACGAATATGGGCTGCCCACTCTGGGCTTGGGCTCCCCGCCCTGCTGTCCTCCCCGCAGGGCCTCTGTGGCCCAGCAGACAAGACCCAGTGTGGTAGGACAGAGCAGGGCAGGGAAACTCAGTGTCACTGCTGTGAGCCCCATGCCACCATGGTGAGGCACCCCCTGCCCACCCAGCAGAAGCAGGGGTGGTGGTGTGGAGCTGCTGCTGGGTGCACAAGGGGTGTCTCACCATGGCAGTGTAGACCTCCTAGCAGCAGCAAAGAGCTTCCCCACCTGGTCCTGCTCTGCCCTGTTGCATCGGGTCCTGCCCAGTGGGCTGTGGAGGCCCCAGGTAGAGGACAGCAGGGCATGGACCCCTGTAGCATGGACTGAACTAATGTAGCTGATGTTAACATAAAGTGCAATAATACTGAAATGTAACCATGTTAGTCTTCTGCTGTTTGCAGCTTGAAAACTCCATTTTGTACCTTCCAAACCTTCAGGGCATACAGTAGGTCATAAGAGAGTAGCAAAGGCAGATCTGCTTTTCCTGGAAGTTTCCATCTTTCTTCATGCCCTCAAAGATATTGCAGTACACAGAGTTCATATTTTTCTCTGCAGCTGTAAGGGTTAGAAACTTAGCTGTCTTATACAAAAAAAAAAAAAAAAAAAAAAAAAAAAAAAAAAGAAAGAAAAGAAAAAAGCACCCCATAACCAAAACACCTTTGCTTCCCACTTGAGTCTCATTATACTTAGAATTTTTTTCTGAAAACTTCACCTCAAGATAAAAATAATAAGAATTAGTAACATGGAGGATGCAAGGTGGGCCAGCACCTAAACGTATATATTTTACTTGCCCGGAAGACAAGAAAGGCAAACTATAGTTTCCAATTGGACAGGAAACTCTGGGAAAGGTATCACCCATTTTGCAATTTTTTATGCATGTAAATACACACTGTCCCTCACAGTCACATCAGTGCTATCAGGTCATAGATTTAGAGAGACATCTAAAGCTAACTCCACATTTAAAATCATGTCCTATCTTCTTTGCTTTTTCCCCCCTTCTGACCATTTCATTTTATGCTTTACCTTCCCCTACACAACTTCTTTTTCATTCAGGCTTTTCAATTTCTTTGTCTTTTTCTGTATAATTTTTCTCCAAACGCACTGCTTCTTCAACAGGGATAGGTCTCTGGGTTGGCCCCTCACCTATAATTAGGTGGCCAAGCAAAGTAAGATTTGCTTGAGGGATGTGAAAGCTTAAAAATTTAACTGACAAATGCAGTGATAACCAGCTATCCTTTAGCTCAGGGCTGGGCAGTGTTGCAGGGAGGTGGTGAAGGGAAGCTGCAGGTGCCCCAGAAGAACCAGAAAGCAGCAGGGAGGACCTAGGAGGAGGAGAGAGGGACTTAGCACCCATAGCTTAAGAGGAAAACAGCAAGCAGCCAACAACAGGGATCCTAGTTTTCTCTGTTAAAAAATCCAAAACTTTCCAGCTATCGGAGTTGGTCTAATAAAAGATATCACATTTACCCAAAGAACCTTGTCTGCCTATGTCCTTAGGCCAACATGGCTACAACATACACCCCTGATAAAAACCCATCATTCTGCAATTGAAATCCCCACAAACCCGCGTTTCTCTGCGATTAAAATAAAACACCACTATATATAGCAGTATCAGTTGAACACGACAATTTTAAAGCAGTTTGGAAGCCTGTCAGTGCCTCAATCATTATAATAAAACAAACTGTAAAAACTTATATACTTTGGTGTTTGATTTAGATTTTTTTTTACCCTGGAAACCACCCCCCC